AAGGCTATGTTTGGAGTGCAATGGTGGCTTTTTCTCCTCCTAGTGCCTCTTTTGAGTGTCTTCCTTCAAGCCTAGGAAAGACATTGTGGAATTGTGTGGAGGACAATGGCAGATAGAAATGATGGTCCAAGACATCTGGGGACAACAGGTTGATCCAAAACAATGGCATATAGCGGTCATGGTCCAACATATCCTGGACACAGCAGCTTGATCCAAAACTGATGTATAAAAGCTTTGTTAGATGCAGACATATCAGCAACAGTTGGAGCAAGATGATTGGCTTCAATTGTTCCTAAATGCCTTCAACTTGACATCCAGCCAAAGTGTTGGGATCAGAGGAGTATGTCTTAGATGGGATCTACCCTACCCAATAATCCAGATCAATGAAATTAATCCACATTCTGAAACTGGATTATAGGGTAGTGTAGATCCAGCTTCAGACTTTTGGAAGACACCAAGATGGTTCAACACATCTGGAGAGACATCAGGTTGATCCAAAACTCTAGAGGAGACTGACCCATCTTGGTGTCTTCCAAAAGTCTGAGGCTGGATCTACACTACCCTATAATCCAGTTTCAGAATGTGGATTAATTGAATTGACCTGGATGATTGTGTAGGGTAGATCCCGTCTAGGGCATACTCCTCTGATCCCAACACTTTGGCTGGATGTCAAGTTGAAGGCATTTAGGAACTATTGAAGCCAATCATCTTGCTCCAACTGTTGCTGATATGTCTGCATCTAACAAAGGCTGGATCCACACTGACATATAATGCGGTCTCAGAATGCAGATTGACTACACTAAATTGGATTATATGACTCAACGCTGCCATATTATGCAGTTCAATACAGTTAAACTGCATTCTGGGACTGCATTATATGGCAGATAGGGCCAAAGTCTGGTCGTATGGCATCTGTGCCAAGGTTGGTCCAGATCCATCACTGTTTGAGTCTACAGTGCTCTCTGGATGTAGGTGAACTACAACTCCTAAACTCAAGGTCAGTGCCCATCAAAATTTTCCAGTATTTTCTATTCGTCATGGGAGTTCTGTGTGCCAAGTTTGGTTCAATTCCATCATTGGTGAGGTTCAGAATGCTCTGTGACTGTAGGTGAACTATAAATCCCAACAACTAGAACTCCCAAATGTCAAAGGCTATTTTCCCCAAACTCCACCCATGTTCATATTTGGGCATATTGAGTATTTGTGCCAAGGTTGGTGCAGATCCATCATTGGTTGAGTCTACAGTGCTCTCTGGATGTAGGTAAACTACAACTCCAAAACTCTAAGTCCACCAAACGATTCCAGTATTTTCTGTTCGTCATGGGAGTTCTGTGTGACAATTTAGGTTCAATTCCATAGTTGGTGGCGTTCAGAATGCTCTTTGATTGTAGCTGAGCTACAAATCCCAGCAACTACAACTCCCAAATGACAAAATCAACCGCAACGCCACCAGTATTCACATTTGGGCATATTGGGTATTTATGCCAAATTTGGTCCAGTGAATGAAAATACATCCTGCATATCAGATATTTACATTATGATTCACAACCGTAGCAAAGTGATAATTATGAAGTAGCAGCAAAAATAGTTTTTTGGTGGGGGGGGGGGGTCACCACAACATGAGGAACTGTATTAAGAGGTTGTGGCATTAGGAAGGTTGAGAACCACTGTATAGCCTCAAAAACACATTTCTCTGCAGACATCTCTCCCTTATTTTATTTATTTATCGTGTCAGGAGCAACCAGACATTTGTATTACATTTTTAACAAAACAGACAAAACACAAAGTTTGCAAGCTTGGTAGTTGATTAAATGTCTTTTGACCAGTATCTGGCCACTTGGAGTGCCTCTGGTGTTGCCGCAAGAAGGTCCTCCCTTGTGCATGTGACAGGGCTCAGGTTGCATTGCAGCAGGTGGTCAGTGGTTTGCTCTTCTCCACACTCGCATGTCGTGGATTCCACTTTGTGGCCCCATTTCTTAAGGTTGGCTCTGCATCTCGTGGTGCCAGAGCGCAGTCTGTTCAGCATCTTCCAAGTCACCCAGTTTTCTGTGTGCCCAGGATGGAGTCTCTCATTTGGTATCAGCCATTGGTTGAGGTTCTGGGTTTGAGCCTGCCACTTTTGGACTCTTGCTTGCTGGGGTGTTCCAGTGAGTGTTTCTGTAGATCTTAGAAAATGATTTCTTGATTATGTCGTTGACGTGCTGGCTGATACCCAAACAAGGGAAGAGCTGGAGATGTCACTGCCTTGGTCCTTTCACTATTGACTGCTACTTCCTTGCGGATGTCAGGTGGTGCAATACCGGCTAGACAGTGTAATTTCTCCAGTGGTGTAGGGCGCAGACACCCCATGATAATGCGCATGTCTCATTAAGAGCCACATCCACTGTTTTAGCATGGTGAGATGTGTTCCACACTGGGCATGCGCCCTCAGCAGCAGAGTAGCATAGCACAAGGGCAGATGTCTTCACTGGGTCTGGTTGTGATCCCCAGGTTGTGCCAATCAGCTTTCGTATGATATTGTTTCTAGCACCCACCTTTTGCTTGACATTCAGGCAGTGCTTCTTGTAGGTCAGAGCACGGTCCAGAGTGACTCCCAGGTATTTGGGTGTGCTGCAATGCTCCAGTGGGATTCCTTCCCAGGTAATCCTCCCTAAAACACTATGAATTTTTCTATTGAAGTTCTCCTTTCCAAGTTCATCTCCTATTCCTCCCAAACCATTTCCAAAATTCACTACTTGTCCCACCAGTATACAGACCAGGGGGGGCTTTTTTGCCCCAGTACTGACCCATCACACTCAACAGGAAAAAAAGCATGATTACAGCACTTTCTGAAATTTGGATCCATTTCCCTAGGTTTTCCTTGGTGTTTAATGTTAAGGTTTCAAAGAACAGTGGGGAGAAAACTGACCTGGTTTGCAGCAGCTGTGACCCATTTAGAGGTAAAAAATAAACCACTGGAAAAATGTTATGTGTGTACACATAACATTTGTACATATATATAAACATATACACATACGTACATATATTTCAAAGTGGGGAAATCTAGAGGCATTGGAAATGGCTAATGGGGGCAAACACTGGGGTTGTGAGGGCCACACATAACATATCGATATCCATACTAAAAGCGAAAATATGTATGTGTGTGTGTAGCTGGGATGCACACTTTCACAGACAGGCTCCCACTTCCACAAACAGTTATGATCCCACCCATGAGGAGCCACCAAAGGTCTTCCCTCCAATAACATTGCAGGTTATAGCAAGCACCGTGAACATATACAACCCCTGCTAGTGTCCTACACAAACACAAGACTGCCCACCACCCAAGTGAATGCTTTCAAATGGGGAGATTTTCATCCCAGATTTTATGTGTTTCCTCCACCACAGACATCCCAGTGTTTCTGACTCTCTCCATTGGTGTGGAATTTGCATGATCCTGCCCACTGCCCCTCCCATAATCCTTTCCTACTCTTTTCCATGGTGCATAGCAAACAGTGCAGAATTGATCAGCAACTGAACATACTGGAGTTGGGGGGTTGGGGGACTAACTCTACATGATGGAAGTTGTAGTTCACCCTGCATCAAGACAGAGAACTGTGACCCCCATCAACAATGGACCTGGACCACATTTGACACACAGAATCCTCATGACCAACAAAAAATACTGGAGGTCTTTGAGGAGAATTGACCTTGATGTATAGGAGTTGCAGTTCACTCACATCCAGAGAGCATTGTGAACCCAAGAAACAATGGAAATTTAGAACTCATACCTGATATGCCCTAATTTGAATACTGGTGAGTTTGAGGGAGAATTGGCCTGGACATTTGGGAGTTGTAGTACTGGAATTTATAGTTCACCTACAATTAAAGAGCACTCTGAACCCCACCAATGATGGCCCTGGACCTACCTTGGCACAAAGAACCTTCATGACCAACAAAAAATACTGGAGGGTTTGTGGGGGAATTTGCCTTGATTTGGGGGAGTTGTAGTTCACCTACATTCGGAGAGCTCTGTAAACCCAAACGACGATGGGTCTGGACCAAACTTGGCACACAGGACCACCATGACCAACTGAATCTATTGGAGAGGTTTGAGGGGACTGACCTACTATGGTGGGAGCTGTAGTTCATCCTGCAGCCAGAGACCACACGGACCTTATCGATGATAATTTAGGGATCAAACTTTTCCAAGATGAAAAACTTTAACCACTGATGGAGTTTCAGGGGGTTAACCTGACATGGGAGCCCCTAGTGGTGAAGCAGTTTAAGCCATTGAGCTGCTGAACTTGCTGACAAAAAGGTTGGCAGTTCAAATCCGGGAAGTGGGGTGAGCTCCCACAGTTAGCCCCAGCTTCTACCAACCTAGCAATTCAAAAACATGCAAATTTGAGTAGGTCAATAGGTAACGCTTCTGCGGGAAGGTAATGGCACTCCATGCAGTTATGCCGGCCACATGACCTTGGAGGTGTCTATGGACAACGCTGGCTCTTTGGCTTAGAAATGGAGATGAGCACCATTCAACTAGAGTTAATGTCAAGGGGAAGCCTTTACCTTTATTAACCTGGCATGATGTGACTTGTAGTTATTTTTCCAAATAACATGGGCAATGCTGAATACCCAAGCTAGTATTTTAATATTTGTATGTTGCAGATTATAAATCACATTATTTTTTAATGTTGAGAGTGTCTTTGGATTCCAACTGCAAGATAAAGGTGGGAGTATTGTTATTGTTGTTGTTGTTGTTAGCCCACCCCTTGACATAGGGACACAGTCACAGATTGTACTCCCATTCATACTTCCCAAAGCCATAAAATCGGCTCTCTTTGGAGTCAGAGAAGGAAAACTGAAGAGCTCTCGACAATGCAATTGCTAAGGAACAAAACACTCTTATGGAACTAGGCCATGCCGGGCAGTGAGTGTCATAAAACCGAGAAATGAAACAGCAGTCGATAAGAGAAACACACAAAAAAAAACAACAAAAAACAGAGGATATGGTACATTACCAGATTCCAGAAAAGTGGGTTAAAGGCGATGCAAAGGACAGCGGACACAAAACTGGAGTCAGTCAGATCCACGGAATTGAAGAGGAGAGTCATGACTGAGAAGTCCACCTATTAAAAACATTATTATTATTATTATTATTATTATTATTATTATTATTATTATTATTATGTTTAGACCGTATATGGAATACTGTGTCCAATTCTGGGCACCACAATTGAAGGGAGATGTTGACAAGCTGGAATGTGTCCAGAGGAGGGCGACTAAAATGATCAAGTGTCTGGAGAACAAGCCCTATGCGGAGCGGCTTAAAGAGCTGGGCATGTTTAGCCTGAAGAAGAGAAGGCTGAGAGGAGACATGATGAGGGCCAGGGATCAAGATGTGAGGGGAAGTCATAGGGAGGAGGGAACAAGCTTCCTTTCTGCTGCCCTGGAGACTAGTACGCAATTATATTTATTTATCGTGTCAGGAGAGAACCAAACAGTGATATTGCATTAAAAGAAACAACAAACAAACAAACAAAACACAAAGTTTGCAAACTTGGTAGTTGATTAAATGTGCTTTGACCAGTAGCTGGCCACTTGGAGTGTTGCTATAAGAAGGTCCTCCATTGTTCATATGGCAGGGCTCAGGCTGCATTGCAGTAGACGGTCTGTGGTTTGCTCTATGAGGAGCGGCTTGAAGAGCTGGGCACGTTTAGCCTTCAGAAGAGAAGGCTGAAAGATATGTATGCATTATAATTTTTATAATGCATACATACATATATGGATACATACATGCATATATGTATGTATGCATTATAAAAATTATTTTGTGCCTTCTAGTCATTTCCTACTAATGGCTTTCTTGGCAACATCTATTCAGAGATGATTTGCCTTTCTCGGAGGCTGTAAACATGCAACTTTCCCAAGTATGTGAGAGGAAGTCATAGGGAGGAGGGAACAAGCTTGTTTTCTGCTGCCCTGGAGACTAAGACGCAGAACAATGGCTTCAAACTGCAAGAAAGGAGATTCCATCTGAACATGAGGAAAAACTTCCTGACTGTGGGAGCTGTTTAGCAGTGGAACTCTCTGCCCCAGAGTGTGGTGAAGGCTTTGAAACAGAAGCTGGATGGCCATCTGTCGGGGGTGCTTTGAATGCAATTTTCCTGCTTCTTGGCAGAATGGGGTTGGACTGGATGGCCCATGAGGTCTCTTCCAACTCTAGGATTATTTTCTACAGTTGTTTTGAAAGGAGAGAAGACTTATGTTTTGTTCAGAGACTTTTTGCAAAAACGGCAAACATGGGAGAGAAATCTGGCTTCGTATCCTTTTTCATATTATCTAAGTATCAGGCATGGGCAAACTTTGGCCCTCCAGGTGTTTTGGACTTCAACTCCCACAATTCCTAACAGCCTACCGGCTGTTAGGAATTGTGGGAGTTGAAGTCCAAAACACCTGGAGGGCCAAAGTTTGCCCATGCCTGATCTAAGTATTTTGACCTACTATTCAAACAAGTATTATATTTTTATAATGTTCCCTAAGCACGACAACACAGCCATATCTTTCTGCCCACTGATTTCTTTGCATTTGGGGGAACTAAACCCCACAGAGAGGCGTAGGAGTTCGGAATGAGCTTGAAACCAGAAATTGCGACAGGTTGGAACATTTCGTTGCTTGAAACAACTCCACTTCACATCCTCGGGAGGTTGATAATGGAATGGATATATTTCCCCTCCATCACTTAACACAGCGGTGCAGCATGATGCCTTTTGTGGCCCAACAGGGAGAGTAGTCACTGCTCTAAGGTTTCTTCTGATGCTTTGACTCAAATGACAGGTTTTCTGCATTTTTCGGGGAAACGAGAGATTAATTTGCAACCCACTTGAAGCTCGGTTTAGAAATATTACCAGTTGAGTGCTAAACCTGGCAAATGATGTAGGAAAATCTTTCCCAACACTCCAAAACTTCAATCAAATCAGTGAGTTTTTAATGCTCCATTTCCCCCAGATATTAGGGACTACAGTGCCCAGAATCCACAAACCAGTCACAAATACTGACCAGGCCTAGGTAAAGGTTTTCCCCTGACATTAAGTCCAGTCGTGTCCGAATCTGGGGTGTGGTGCTCATCTCCATTTCTAAACCAAAGAGCCAGCATTGTCCATAGACACCTCCATAGACACCTCCAAGATCCATAGATACCTCCATAGACACCTCCAAGATCCATAGACACCTCCAAGGAGCACCGTTCCCTTCCCGATGGAGCGGTACCTATTGATCTACTCACATTTGCATGTTTTCGAACTGCTAGGTTGGCACAAGCTGGGACTGACAGCAGAAGCACATGCCGCTCCCCGGATTCGAACCTGTGATCTTTCGGTCAACAAGCTCAGCAGCTCAGCACTTTAACCCACTGTGCCATCGCGGGCTCCATGCCCACCCTCCAATATTCTTCTTATTGTCGTCATCATCATCATCATCATCATCATCATATTATTATTATTATTATTATTATTATTATTATTATTATTATTATTACTATTATTATTTCTCCCTTATTGAATTGTATTTTTTTTGTATTATATTGTAGTTCCTTCTGCCAACCTAGCAGTTCAAAAACATGCAAATGTGAGTAGATCAATAGGTACCGCTTCAGCAGGAAGGGAACGGTGCTCCATGTAGTCATGCTGGCCACATAACCTTGGAGGTGTCTATAGACAACGCTGGCTCTTTGGTTTAGAAATGGAGATGAGCACCAACCCCCAGGGTGAGACACAACTGGACTTAATATCAGGGGGAAACCTTTACCTTAACTACTGTATTCCCTTATTCTCTTATTGTGTGATTTTATATACTACTATGAATAGTAATAGTAATAGTAATAATAATAATAATAATAATAATAATAATAATAATAATAATGGGTTGCTGTGAGTTTTCTGTGAGTTTTAGCCATGTTCCAGAAGCATTCTCTCATAGAATCATAGAATCATAGAATCAAAGAGTTGGAAGAGACCTCATGGGCCATCCAGTCCACCCCCCTGCCAAGAAGCAGGAATATTGCATTTCAAATCACCCCTGACAGATGGCCATCCAGCCTCTGTTTAAAAGCTTCCAAAGAAGGAGCCTCCACCACACTCCGGGGCAGAGAGTTCCACTGCTGAACGGCTCTCACAGTCAGGAAGTTCTTCCTAATGTTCAGATGGAATCTCCTCTCTTGTAGTTTGAAGCCTTTGCTCCGCGTCCTGGTCTCCAGGGAAGCAGAAAACAAGCTTGCTCCCTCCTCCCTGTGGCTTCCTCTCACATATTTATACATGGCCCTCATCATATCTCCTCTCAGCCTTCTCTTCTTCAGGCTAAACATGCCCAGCTCCTTAATCCGCTCCTCATAGGGCTTGTCTCCAGACCTTTTATCATTTTAGTCGCTCTCCTCTGGACACATTCCAGCTTGTCAATATCTCTCTTGAATTGTGGTGCCCAGAACTGGACACAATATTCCACAATATTCCTCCTGACGTTTCACCCACATCTATGGTAGGCATCCTCAGAGGTTGTGAGGTCTGTAGGAAGCTAGGCTTATCTATCTGTGGAATGATGTCCAGGGTGGGAGAAAGAACTCTTGTCTGCTTGAGGCAAGTGTGAATGTTGCAATTGGCCAACTTGATTAGAATTGAATGGCCTTGTAGTTTAAAGCCTGTCTGCTTTCTGTCTGGAGGAATCCTTTGTTGGGAGGTGTTAGTTGGCCCTGATTCCTGTCTGGAATCCCCCTGGATTTTTTCAGTGTTGTTCTTTATTTACTGATCTGATTTTAGAGGGGTTTTTTTAATACTGGCAGCCGGATCTTGTTCATTTCCATTGTTTCCTCCTTTCTGTTGAAATTGTCCACATGTTTGTGGATATCAATGGCTTCTCTGTGTAGTCTGACATGGTGGTTGTGAGAGTGATCCAGCATTTCTGTGTTCTCAAATAAAATGCGGTGTCCAGGTTGGTTCATCAGGTGCTCTGCTATGGCTGATTTCTCTGGTTGTATTAATCTGCAATGCCTTTCATGTTCCTTGATTCGTGTTTGGGAACCGTGTTTGGTATACCCTACAGCTGTGGACAAGTCTATATAGAGATCCCCAAACAATGATTGATTGGGTTAAATCCTTGTGCTGGCAGGACTGCTGACCGGAAGGTTGGCAGTTTGAATCTGGGGAGCAGGGTGAGCTCCTGTCTGTAAGCTCCAGCTTCTCAGACAGGGACATGAAAGAAGCCTCCCACAGCAGTGGTTCTCAACCTTACTAATGCCGTGACCCCTGAATATAGTCCCTCATGTTGTGGTGACCCTCAACCATAACATTGTTTTTGTTGCTACTTCATAACAGTCATTTTACTACTGTTATAAATCATAATGTAAATATCAGATATGCTAGATGTATTTTCATTCACTGGACCAAACTGGGCACAAATACCCAACGCAACCACATGTAAATGCTAGTGGGGTTGGGGGAGGATTGATTTTGTAATTTGGGAGTTGAAGTTGCTGGGATTTATAGTTCACCTATAATCAAAAGAGCATTCTGAACTCCACCAGCGATGGATTTGAACCTAATTTGCCACACAGAACTCCCATGGCTAACGGAAAACACTGGAAAGGTTTGGTGGGTATTGACTTGAGCTTGTGAGTTGTAGTTCACCTATATCCAGAGAGCACTGTGGACTCACGCAATGGTGGATCTGGACTAAACTTGGCACAAATACTCAATATGTGCAAATGTGAACACTGGTGGAGCCTGGGGAAAATAGACCTTGATTTTTTGGAGTTGTAGTTGCTGGGATTTATAGTTCATTACAATCAAAGAACATTCTGAACTCCACCAACGATAGAATTGCCTCAAACTTCCCACATGGAATCCCCATGACCATCAGAAAATGCTGTGTTTTGTGATGGTCTTTGGCGACCCCTCTGACACACCTTCACGACCTCCTCAGGGGTCCCGACCCCCAGGTTGAGAAACACTGCTCCCACAGGACGATAAAACATCCAAGCGCCCCTGGGCAACATCCTTGCAGATGGCCAATTCTCTCACACCAGAAGTGACTTGGAGTTTCTCAAATTGCTCCTGACATTTTTTTAAAAAAACCTTGC